ATGTCTACGTGTATTTAAAATTGAGAGGTGGGCAACGATGCCAGGGGTGGGGTGTACACCCTGATGGTACTTTGGACTTCTTTTCACAATTAAAGCTTTACCCTGTATTTGTGGATGGCACATCAAACTGTCTTCACAGATGATGAAAGTAGGTGCTGTTGAGACCATGCAGCGATTACCATGACAGAATCATGCCTGTTTTTACTACAGTTTTAACCAATAGAGTTAACATCAGATATTTCTGTACAGATTTATTTTAAATTACTCAAAATATGCTTTACCGGATTTTCTCTTCCATACATATTTTTATCTTTTTATTTTTATTATTTTAAAGTTTGAAGTAATTTAACTGAAAACACTAATGCTGTTAAACAGTATTCAGAAAAGTAGGACATCTAGAGCTCTGACTCACAAAAGTACAAACTGTTTTGACGAGCTATGAGATTCAAGTGAAAAGTACATCAACACAGTAACAAATATCTTTAGTAGTGAAACATGTATAAAAATGAGGACAAAGGCTAATGTGGGTGGGGAAATAAAAACTACATTAAAAGTTGCAAGAATGACTTTTTTGTAAGAACTCCAACAAAGTGACTGAGAAAAGCTGCAATGTGTGTGAGAATCTTTAATCTTTATGCTCTCATGGCAAACCTGTTATACACGTTTTTTGTCATACCTTTTTGTCTATCCGATCTGTTAGTTCCTGTTCTTTAGTGATCATCTTTGCTACATTCTAGATTTCCAAAACTAACAATAGGTGCAAGTACACAAAACCACCCTTCTTTGTCTTTCAGTTTCTTCTGGGCTTTCTGGTACATCTCATTGGTGTAGTGATTTCCACCATTGAAGTAAACCATTTCCTCTATTATATCTAGGAGTTCTCTGACTTGGGTCCTGTTCTGTCTCTGCTTATTGATGAGTGAATGGTATCTTCCCCCACATTGGTTTATCAGCATTCGTACAGGTTTGCTTTCTCTCAAACAGTCATAAAGAGCTTTTTCCTCCAGCAAGTCAGCATGTGTAAACAGAACTATCGTATACATAGAAGCTTCTTCACCAAAGTTATCCTGGATCCACTTCACAGTGTTCTGCTCTTCTTTTGTGAACCTTGACTTCAGACTGATCACTAAAAGAAAAGCATGGGGTCCAGGAACTGACTCCTCAATGCACTCCTCAATGTTTAATTTCACTTCATCTTGTGATTTGGTTGTGTCATACAGCCCTGGAGTGTCAATCACTACAATTTTTCTGTCATCTATTGTGACCTCTTTTCTGTGACAGCTATTGGTAACAGACTCAAGGGACATGTTTATTTTAAAAGCACTTGGATCCCCCAGGATGGTGTTTCCAGATGCGCTCTTCCCTGATCCAGTTTTTCCGATCAGAATGAGTCTCAGCTCTTCCAAGCCTGGTAAAATTAATAACAGTACTTAATTTGATGTATTATGCATGATACTGAAATGATAACACTAAAACATACCATGACACCACCCGTGAGTCTTTATAAATGCTTGTCATTCAAATGTCATTTGTTCACTTGCTAATTTTAAAACTAAAATCTGAAAGTGATTTGCAAATACTTGTCCTAAAATACATAGCTGTTGACTTAGTTGTCGGGATTAAACACAGACAATTGCAAGACGGACAATTAGAACTTCTTTACGAATAAATGTTAGTTTCGATTAATCCCTTAAGAAGCCTGGTTTAACTTGTGCTGAGTGATATCTGTGAGGGAGTGTGATCTACTAGGAATGTGTAAATGTGCTACAGACGCATTTCACAGAAATTATTAATCTACTGATTTCTTTTATAATTTTTTATATAAGTTAAGCATAGCAATGAGAAAATGCATCCCACCTGTTCCAATACTCCTGACACATTAGTGATCCCTTATTTGTCAGAAGTATTAGAACAGCTGAGACGTATTTTCTCTTAAATACTATATCTCTGTCGCTTTCAAACCCCAAAGCACGCTGTGCCAATAATTGGTCCATGCCAAGGATCTACTTGTTTATCAGTGATTTGTTTATCAATTTGGATATAATGAAGGAACTGATCTCCCAGCCCATTGTTCCTTCAGTGGTGCTAGTTTCACTCATTATGCAAATGTACTGTTTATAAGATTGGGGAAACCTGCAGTCAGTTGAGACTGAGGAAGTCACTTGGATGAGTGACGAAACATTTCTCCCACTGAAAACGCTACGTCCAGATGAACATAAATAAACTTTTTATGGTATAATATTAACCACATTGTAAATAAGTTCAGCAGGATTGTAAATGTGTAAAAATACTTTATCATGTCATACCAAACTTGTTGCACAAGATTTTCTGCTTACCTTTTTGTTGAGTTCGGCAGTAGCGAATGTGTACAGACAATAAAACCAGCAGCAGTAGGGTGAGTCCTTGGATCCAAGCCTTTGTTCTGAACATTTCTGTAGCTGTAAGTTCCCAAAATTGTTTTTAAAGAAGGATAAAAGAAAAAACATTTTAAATGAACTGTTTGATGTCTATATGCAGTGTATCTGACTTCAAAGAAACATACTTTTGTGGTCCCTCAGGTGTAAGAAGTGTGTGTTATGTTAACAGATTCTTTAACTGTAAGGAGTGAGAGTATAGTGTAGTAAGAGTAGGGAGAACACACCCACTTACACAGCAAGTCTAATTTAGAGATACCACGTGAGCAGTCACCAACCAAACAAAATGAGCAAGTCTTGCGACATGTCATAGTTAGGAATCAAGTGGATGTGGTAGTAGGGAGGTTGTGTTTATTCAAGACTTAAGCAAGTGAAACACAAAGTACAAAAGTCTGATGTCTCAGAAATGTGTAAAATAAGACTAATTATATAATGATAAAATGTTATGAAACCGAGGCCCTGGGAATTTGTAAGGAGTTTATTCATCAGTTAAAGTAGAAAACCATTTTTAATGTACATTTTCATTAAAGTGTTCTTCCTTGTTTAAATTACATTATTAGTGCATTATGCTGGAGTAAAAAATATATTTACCCTCCCTTCTGAGCTCTCCATCTCTCAACTAGTGTTTCAGTCATTCTGCAACAAGTATTTAACTCATATTAATGATTTTATGCTGAATTGATAAGAAAGCCAGCCATTGGTGGCAGGACGCATGGTGTGTTGTTTTACTGTGTATACCTGGGCATACTGACCTAGTCCAATGTACTTCAAAAGACTACAAGAAATATATTCACAATATGATAAATAATAAGGTAAAAAAATATTAGATTTAATCAGGGGCGATTTTAGCCCAATTTTGAATCAAATCAAAGCACCCCCAAAAATTTCTTACTTTTTTGACAATATTTGCTGTTTGTGTGACACACTACTAAAAATATAAAAAGCATACAGTACTTGGTTGAGACGTAACATTTTAACAACAAAAGTATAGATACCCCCCCCCTCCCAAAATGGTTTGTTCCAGCTCACCTCTCGCCTACTCTGGCTCTAGCCCCCTTGCTGCTAGAGCGATGGTGGCTGAGACGCAGCAGAGTGTTGGTGTAAGTGCCTGGCTTAAAACAGGCTGCATTTAACCTTCAGTTACTCTTTATATAGTTAGGTAGGAGTCAGGCCATGTTTCTTTTTAGCTGAAAAACATTACACCAGGTAACCTGCAGTGTTGAAAATGTGTTTTCCGACTATGTTTGCTACTCTACAATCAGCTCTGTAGTAAAATCAGCAACATTTGACCATCCTGTTGCTCCCATTGAAATTTATACAGCCTACTTAAAATCTAAAACTTAAAATTCTCCGCAGCCTATTGTTGTTACCACTGTCCTGTTTTAAATGGATAATAACTAGCTAACTGACTGGGTGCCCATTAACCTTATAACTCCTGTTGTGTGTGTGTGTGTGTGTGTGTGTGTGTGTACAGAGACAGCCAGGTTCATAATGGATATAAGGAAGTTTTTTCAAAAAAAGGAGCCGTGAATCAAGAATAATGTTGGATCAGTGTTTCAATATTTATCTTTTATTAGATGTTCATGTGGTTTGGTTATTTGCCTTATGGTTGAAA